GTATCTTGATCATACCCAGTCCTACTCCCCCCCACACTCCCCCTGGACGACCTCCAACATGTCCCTCTCTCACCTTCATTTCTTTCTTCTTTTTTTCTTTTTGACAACTCACTGAGTGCATTTAGTGCTGCCTGCTAGAATACTGACTGATCTTGCTGACTTGATCTTGTGCAGGTCCTGGGTAGGTAATGACATCTGCGGTGAGCTCATGAGTGTAATGGCCATGTCGTTTCCCAAAGATGGCATTTCACAGCACTCCTTACCATCCTCCAGCTCTTATAGTCTTCCTGCCCTACTTCTGTGATGTTCCCGTGTGTGTGTGTGTGTGTGTGTGTGTGTGTGTGTTGATGGAGTTGTCCCATTTAGGGATGAGCACTCAACAGTCACTTACTCTCAGTTCTCTGACCATTGCAGAAAGAAGTTTCTTTGGCCAAGGTTGAAAGCATCACTAACCTATGGGCATGAATATAAATATTTAAAAGACAGTTTGATAACATTTCCTTTTAGTGAAACAATACTAGGTTCCCCACTAGGGCCTGTGACTTCCCATCCCAAACCATGGGTTTTTGACCAGGTTTACAGTTCTAGGTATGAAATTTTTCCTGTGGAGCAGACCTCAGTCTTCTTCCTCTTCCTCTTCCTTCTCTACTTTTTCTTTTTCTTCTTCTTCAAAAGTCTTGTTCTGTAGCCTAGGCTGGCCTGGGACTCAGTCTGTACCTTGGGCTGTCCCTGACCTCAAAGTAATCCTCCTGCCTCAGTCTCCAGAGAGCTGGTATTACAGGTATGAGTCACCATACCCATTCCTTGGATCTTTTTCTGTTACATCTTTTCTTCATTTCTACCCCATTCCCAACATTAGTTGTTTTATAAGGTGATTTGATTTTGGAATCATTTTAATTGTTTGGGAAACGAATCAGCACAAACAGTGGCCAAGTCATAAAGTGTTCAGGTGATATGTGGCCCAGGAACATATGGAGAAAATACCTTGAGAGAAAGGATGGAGGATCTTTCACTCATCTATACCAGCCTATCACAAACAGATTTCACATTAAGGTGGGAGCTAAGGTTCGGTGAATTGGTGCTATTTCAAATTACTTTCAAGAACAAAATTAAACCACTCATTGGTTGATTTTTAAAAATATTTTCAAATTTCATTCCCAGCAGAATGCCAATGCAGTCCAGCAGTTTAATTCATTATTATCCAAAGTCCAAGGGAGTGAAATTTTAATCTGTTTCTAACCACTTCATACTGGTTTTATCTGTAATTAACTTAGTGAAAGGCAGCTGATGACAGAGTCTTCCTTGTGTTCCAATTACCTAACTTACAAGGGTCTCCAAGGAGCTTGATTTAACAGAAAAGTGCCATGTGGTAGGGCAGGAATATTAAACAGGAACACTAGGTGTTTTACCAAGACTTCCCAAAGGTATTATTGGATGAGCCCACAGGGGGAATGTTTGTGCAGCTTTGACTGGTGTGGTCAGGCCCTGGGCTGCATCATGGTCAAAAGAACACAGCACTGAAACCAAAATGAGCTTCCAAGGAAATTAAATCCTTTATAACTCTCAAAAGCAATGCTTTCAAAAATTCCTTTTCCTACTCCTCATCCCTCCACTATGCATTTTCTGCAGGTGTTCATGGGCTTTTGTTTTCAAATGTCCTTCACCTGGGAAAACTCTTCCTCTAGTCCCATATCTTTCATTTCCTGTGCTTTTAGTCCCCACCGCTGGCCAAGTTCTTCCTGAAAAGAGCCCCAGAGAATCAGTTTGCAAAGGGGAGACTTGCTTGGCAGATGAAAAAGAGGAAGACAAACTAGGGAAAGCTCCGTTGTTGCTTTTGAAAATTAGTTATTATCTTTTGTGCAGGATGTGTGTGTGTGTGTGTGTGTGTGTGTGTGTGTGTGTACATGCCACAGCACATCTGTGGAGACCAGAGGACAACTCTGGAGTTGACTCTCTCCTTCCACCTTTATGTGGGTCCTGGGGATTGAACTCAAGTTACTAGGTTGCACAGTGACATGCAAGCACCATTACTGACCCATCTCACTGACCTTAGAATTCTAATAGGTCAGAAGAATTGCAAGTGGAGGACTCTCATAAAATACTCTTCATATGTGGAGGACAGTAGTCCTTCCTTATCTGAAGTGCATATGTTCCCACATGCTTAAAAGCTGCCTGTGTCCATGGATATTCCTGAACTCTGTATCTGTTTTCCTGTACGCATACAGACCTATAATAAAATTGAATTAATAAATGAGATACAGTAAGAGAACAACAACAATAAGTGAAAATAGGCAAGCATAACCATATATGGTAATGAAAGTTGGGTGACTATGAGCTCTGTGACTTGCATAGCATGTTTTTGTGTGACACTCATTCTTCTTGGGTTGATGTGCAGTGATGCAATACCTCCATGAAAGGAAATGAGGTGGACACTGTAGACCTTGTGATGCAGTGTTCTTAGTCAACTATATAAAGGTCACACAAACAGCAACACTGTGGTACAGTCTACCTGATAACCTGGGTGCTTCTATGTGACTCACAGGTCAGGAGCATACAGAGTATGGAT